CTCCTCCTCCTCCTCCTCCTCCTCCTCCTCCTCCTCCTCCTTCGTACTCATCAAAATGACTAGCAATTTGTTGCGTCAATCTGGTGGTAGCCGAAATGATGTGAAAGTGTTATCGTGGTGCACCATTTGGTTGAATTGCGTACGACGTGTGGAATGGTGAAACGAATTGCTTATCGAGTGAGTTCGGACCCTTCTCCCCAATGCATTGTTGAGGAAGTGGTGAGGATGAAGAAGGAGATGGAGAAGGTGACATTGAGAACTCCGTTAGTTGGGGTCACTACGACGTTGTTGTCCTCCTGTCCTTAGGTGAGATGTAAGATGTGGTGAAATGAGTCACAGGGTGACCGACACTGACACCGACGCAGTTCACACGCACAAACATGAACAAAGCGGCTCGATTTGCAGTGGAGATGATGGAGGAGGAGGATGTGCAACGACTCGATAGTGTGCACGTACTGACAGCACATTCGGTCCTTCAATTTGGCCTGAGGCGACTTGTGTGGATGGCATGACATGGCGTACTTGGATGACATTTCTCCTGCTCGAGTGGAGTAGGTTGGAGTAGAGTTGAGTGGAGTGGAGTGGAGTGGAGTGGAGTGGCATGGGGTGAAATGAAGTGAAGTGTTGAAGAATGGGGTGGAGTGGAATTGGATGTGGTGAAGTGAAGCTGTTTGAAGTAGAGTGAACATTCCTCAACAGGTTGGCAATTACTTGGAGGTTGCTTTGGGCACTGGGAGGTGTCGTCAGTAGTGAAGTTGGCTGTCGGACGGGTTGTGTGCCTCAATCCCTCCACCACATATGTCTCTTGGTTGGAGGTAATTCGACTGATTTCTTTGTAGCCTTATATACCATGATTACGACGGATTGGGTGACGTGACGTTGCTGCTGCTGCTGCTCGTGCATGGTGCAATGTGGCCACGGAGTGTGAAGTGGCGATTGTTTGTACGTCACCTGAACAGTGTGTCATCTGAGACGTTGTCGTGTATAGCGTGGTAAGAGAAACAGACGACTTCATTCTTCACTTGTTGTGTCTCCTCTCTCAACCTGTTAAGGCACTCCTTCACATCATGACTGAGGTCTAAATGGAGCAAGTCTTTGGGTAATTTCTGTGTGTTGCTTTCTACTTTATTCATTGTGCATGTGGTTAGGAGGCGATGGAGTGTTGGCATTCACTGTGGCCTTTCCCGCTCTGCCTCCACGTGGTAAGGGGAGAGGTTGGTTTGAGGTGAGGCATCGTGCGCATTGAGTGTTTAGTAATGTAGGAGGATGTGGATCATTATTACGCTGCCTTCCCTTTTGTTAAGCTAAAATCGTATTTGGAAGAGGAGAGGAGGACGGGAGAACAGGAGAGGAGATGGAGGCAGCTGAGGTGAGACGGGGTGAGATGAAAGGAGATGGGATGGGAGGAGGTGAGAGGTGAGGTTGGAGAGGGGCATGAAGGAGAAGAGAGAAGATGCGAGGATGGAAACGAAGTGTAATGAAAAGGAGAGTGGAAGGGAAGTGAAGGAATGGAGTGGAAAGGAGGAGGAGGAGGAGGAGGAGGAGGAGGAGGAGGAGGAGGAGGAGGAGGAGGATTGTGGTCTGAAGAAATGGTGCAATGGATCGCGTAGTCACACTGTTTCTAGTTTGTGTTTGCTGTATTGGGATGAGACGAATTGTGGTTTTGTTGGATGAGACGAATCGTGTTGTCCGATTTGGTGGAGTGGATGCAGGACACGTACAATGTTGTGTTGGGGTCTGGGACATCTGGGTGTCGTAGTCATTGACTGGAGCAATTGTTTTCGCTTTGGAGCGGCTACACTTTTTAATGAGATGCGTAATTGAAAAGTGGAAGAAGTGTGGAATGAAGAAAGGATGGAAGGCAGGAAGCATTGTA